GGTCACCACGTTCTGTCAGACTCACTTATTCAACATCCCTCATGTCAGGCCCTCCTCTCCATTGCATACTTCCTCCAGGCCCTCATCTCTTCTCACCCTGATGACCACAGCTGCCTTGGTCTCTCACTTCCCCACCAGTCCCTCCTGCACACTGCTATCAGAGTGACGTTTCTATAGCACATCTGTTTTTAGAGGGTCCAGTCAGGAGGCTGGAGCTCTAGTGGTTAAGATTCCGTCCAAGTTTGTGTCCTGGTCAGGGGACCACACCACCATTTGTTGGTTGTCACACTGTGGTGGCTGCCTGTGGCTGTGACGCTGAAAGCTGTACTGCCGGGATTTCAAACGCCAGCAGGGTCCCCCATGGCGGACGGGTTTCATGGAGCTGCCAGACTAGACAGACTCAGAAGAAGGACCTGGCCACCCACTTCTGAAAAAACTGGCCATGAAAACCCTGTGAATAGCAGTGGAGCATTGTCTCATACAGCGCCAGAAAGTGAGAGGATGGCGCAGAAAGACCCGGCAGGGTTCTGCTCTGCTGTCCACAGGGTCGCAAGGAGTTGGGATCCACTCGACAGCACTAACAACAAAAAGTCAGGAAGCAGTAGGATACCCCTGCCCCAGAGAAACACTTTTATGCAGATCTTGAGGATTGCTTGGGCGAGGGTGAGACGTTTCCCATAGGAAGGTGACCCAGAGACCATCTGGGAACTGAGTTACCCACACTCCAGGCGCTTACTGTGGATACTCAGAGTTGCTGCAGCTGTCAGGTGAATCGGATGGTCCTGACCAGTCCCGGTGGGGTGGGGAGACAGTCGGCTTGGCCAAGCAATTTGTGCAGCAGAATCCCTCTGGCGATTGTGGGGTCCTCCAGCCTCAAGTCCTCCCTTCAGAGCAGGAGTCGTTTCAACACATGCCCAAAAGTGATGAAAAGCCATTTCCCATCAGTTGTAGTCCTCGGTGACATTGCAGAGACCTAGACTTAATGCACATTCTGTTCTGGCACCAGATGATGCCACACGCTCCTCAGCCATGGTAGCCTTTGTGGACCTTGGCTGACCCGACACAGAGGATGTATGAGGGAGGCCTTCCTGGAACACTACCCAAGACACACAGTGCAGCCACTGAACACGCGTGTTAAGGATGTTCTGTGAGGAGAAGATCAGCTGTGTCCTGCCAGCCCATGTGACAAAAAAAAAAAAAAGGCAGTCTCCTCTAGAAAGATTTGAAATTACAAAGGGTGAAGAACTGTCAGGAAAAATAAAAGAAACTTTTAGGGTTGGGGGGGTCGGTGATACCACTTCCTAAATGTGAAGATTTTCCTCAAATAATAAAGCCTGTCATTTGTAGAGTGCTTTACTGTTTACAAAACACTCCCACATTCATTTTCTCATTTGATTCCCACAGCAACTCTGTGACCTGTTGAGATTCTGCTTCACAGATACGAAAATTGACCCTCCCAGAAAGTAATCAATATGCCCCCAATCAGAGTTAGTAACTGCCAGAGTCTTGACTTAACTTGCTTCTTAATTTTCCTAATTCGCCATATGCACATTATGTAGGTGGTTGTATATGACACGGGAAGTGGGGTGAAATTTTATTTTCTCTCTCATTTTGCTTTAAGTGACATCAGGAAATGGGCACCATTTCCCATATAATGATTACTTTCCAGATTGCATTTCATAATTAAGAGGTTTCATTTGTCTGAAAGAAGGCGGGGCCACTCCCATTGTTAGTGATTTATTTTGCTGCTTCTGACTGCAGTTTTTGTGCTGCTCTGTCAGATTATTGGTGGCACTTCCATGCCAAGATTACTGCTAGGAACTGTCTCTGAGAATGTGGTGTCGATCACACATCACCACTTCTGTGCCTGCAGATGAAGATGTCGTACTCAGTAATGCATCAGGAACAAAACTATTTGCCGTTTATGATGTTGAGGTTCACACACACACACACACCTAATGGTAATAACTGAAGGCTGAAAAATAAAGGCAACTTCTATTAAGTCTAATTGCTGACACCTCTTAATTGTTTCTGTTATGAGGGATGAAAGAAGTTGTCTGCATTTCTCAGGACTGAAATTCACAGACAACCCAGCACTCATTTTAACCAACTTTTGGCTAAGGCAAAATTTGAGTTTACTTCTTTTTCTCTGAATGGTTTCGAAGGTCAAAAGACAAAAACACAAACTGTTAACCAGCTTCAAGTAATAATAATTTAAAGTCATGAAGGTGCTTTATAGTTTACGAAGCCCCATTATATTATTTCCTTTAATCACAGAGCGACCCTGTAAGACAGAGAGTTATCCTCGTGAAAGCTGAAGTCACACAACACCTGTAGTGACTTGGACTCCAGATTTCTCATCCCAATCTCTGCACTAATTCACAGATTTTGAGCTCCTACACACACAGACCCCCTTTGTGACTTGCATGAGATAGAAGTGGTAACAAGAAACACTTAAAAAGTACAGCTATATAATGTAGTTATTTTTGTTGTTCCTGGTAATATTATGGAACCACATTTTTATGTGTGTTTTCATGTACTGTGTAGTAATGTTTTTCTTATACCCCACTGCGTAAATATTGCATTTTCTGAGCATATGAATACAAAGTGTCTAGCTGCCCACAAAGACCAGATTGACATGATACAACTCTTTGTTTACTCACTGAATAGGCACAACTTGTGCTGTGCCAGCTGCTTTGTCCAGTCTTAACCTTGTTCTGTAAGAACCACTGGTATGAGTGGCTGGATAATTAATTCCATACTCCGTTTTAGCCTTGGGATCTTCTGTTCAGATTAAATCAGATAATGCCGCCGAGTGTGAACAATATACCACTCTGAATTAGGTTTGGACCACTGAGGCCAGGTGGACATGGACTTCGTTTGAAACACTGCATTTAGAAGGAGTCTCATTTACTGGGAGCTTCTTTTTTGAAGAAACCGTGGAGGCAGAGAAACATTTTAGTGCTGCACACAGGATCCTCAAGTACTGGGTCTAGGAATGTTAGTATTTGGAGTATTCGGACTGTGAAGAATTACTCGTCTTACTTGTTTCATTTCAGATAGCAAAGGGCTCTGAGATTACAGTGTAGAGGCAAGATTACATCCTTTTTTCTAGGGGGGAACAAAGTGATTCATGAAAGACTTGTATCCAGAAATCAATAAACATTGAGAACTAATACTAGAGTCACTTCAAGAGTCAGCAGGAACTTTGGTAGTAACTTAAACATCGAAGAAGATGAGCCTCCAACTCAACATGAGAGAGCCTTTTCCATATATGCACCCCAGTGCGCACACTGAACTTTAAGGGCGGTCATTTTCAGGACTCAGAAGCCACTTGTAGTCTCGATGCATAAGCGACTGGCAACGATCAGTGTCAGCTACCATGCGGAAGCTCCTCATATTTAAATGAAGTCTTCATTCTTTAATCAGTGTGTTGTCAAGGAGAGTTTACATGTGTGCTTTACCTCTAATCCAACAAACACCATCCCTCCTTCTCCCCAGGAAACAATACCTTATGTGAACGTGGGCCGAGCATATTGTTGCTGGAGCAAAGGAGAAGAGCTGGGGTTGAGTTTTGCTAAACTTTTCCAGCTCCGTGTGTTTACAGAACCTTGAGATGTGTGGAAGCTGTGTTTCTGCTGCCTACGATGATGGTTGTTCTCCTGGAAGTTTAATTGTGAGTGGGCTGTGATTGGAACTCTTAACACTGATTATCTCAGTTATTATCAGAACTGGGCCCAGGGCCTTGAAGGCATCACTGTCCCGTCCAGTTGGTAGAAGCAGGAGCCAGAGGACGAGGGAGTGACATCTGTGACCAAAGTGAGGGAGCTGCTCTCCAGAGAGATTAGCTCCCACCACAGAGCGTTCTCTCTGTTTCTAAATTGTTTAAAGTTGGTTTGCAGGGGATTATTTCATGATCCTGGTGTGGTTCCTGCATCTGTTTATTCTTAAATGCTTCCTAAAACATTTTTCAAAATCCACTCATGATTTCCTGATCCTTCCTAATACATGGACTGCTTAAAATGCAACTCTTCTTCTTTTTAAATCTTAGCTTTGAAAATGCAAACAAATGTGTGAGCCTTAGGAACAGATTGGAAAAATGAGTGAGGGCTGTCAGAAGCACAGCCGAGTGATGGTCCTGTTGTTCATGCACCTTAGAGAGAATTTCAGTCTGCTGTTCGGTCACTTGGGAATTACAGCCTCTGTTGGTGTGGGATTAAGGTGAAGCAGATGTATTGCACCCCTCTGCTGGCTCTGAGGCTGCAGCAGCTCATTAACCAGACCTGCATTTAGATGTCTTTCCCCATTAAAAAAAAATGGTGTGAGGAAAAAGGAAGCCAAAGCTGGGAAAGCTGTTAATTTTATTATTTGTTTAAAATGTCAGGAAAAACAAACATCTGCCAAATGCAAATGGTTAGGATGAGCAAGAAAGCCAGCAGTGTCCAGGCTTTTCAGCACGGTACCTGAAAAAGGGAGAGGCCGTCTCTCCTCTCCCTGGGGCATATCTTCAGCTTTAAAAAGTACTCAGTCCCTTTCAAATACTGAAATAACCTTTTCCAAGGGCTTAAGGAACAAACTAGTGGATCAGTATGGGCAGTGTGTTCAGAACAGTCGGGGAAAGCAAGGCATGTGTGTGGCGTGGAGTGGGAGGGGGAGGAGAGAGGGTGTCTTCTCTGGGGTCAGAAAGGAAAGCTGGCAGATCATCACGCTGACACTCGGCCTCGGGTGGGCCACTCCTGTGCATGAAAGCACGTTACACACAAGCCTGGAAGAGAATCACAGCACCGTGGAATTTCACAGCCAGCAGGACCCAAGAAGCAACGGTTCTGCTCATGAGTGAGAAAGAGATCCTTCCCGGAGAGCAAAGTGCCTCAGCTGTGGGGCTCCTGAGGGCCGGCCCTGCTCCACTTCTTCCTGTGGATCTGCACACGGTGGGCTCCTTGCAGGGCTGTCTTCTGTCTGGGCTTTGCTCCCCGCTCCATTCTTGCTTTCTTCCCCAGGCGGCTGGATGCCAACCACATCAGCCACGTGCCCCCCAGCTGTTTCAGTGGCCTGTACTCCCTGAGGCACCTGTGGCTGGATGACAACGCTTTGACAGAAGTCCCCATCCAGGCTTTCAGAAGCTTGTCAGCACTGCAGGCCATGACCTTGGCCCTGAACAAAATACACCACATCCCAGACCACGCCTTTGTAAACCTCTCCAGCTTGGTGGTTCTGTAAGTTTTATTGATTTTTTTTTCTCTCTTTTAACAGTTTCTAAATTCTCTGTAAGACCTTGACCTTAAAGTGGTGGCCCTTCAAACCTTAAACAGGGACATTTTAAGGGAAGAAAAACCCCTGAACCTCTCCCTAAAATGACTCATAAATGTTCTAATTGTGTAAAAGAATTAAACAACATTTATCGAGCACCTGCTAAGTGCCAAGCGCTGCTAGATGATAAACACGACCTCTGCCTTAGGGAAGCCCATTGTGGGCTGTACATTTAGTCCAGCGACTGAGGTTAATCAGAATTCCTGTTTCTGATAATAATTTATAATTGAAATATGCCCTCTTATCATTTAATAAGTACTTCTTGAACTCCTACCAAGGGAAGGGAAGTGAGCATGAACTCTTGACAGCAAGCTATGCATTTGTATGGCTTTTTCTCTGGTAGGTCTAGATTTCATTATTTTAAGTAAATCAAAATGATTCTCAAGTAATAGTTTGAAAAATCATCAGTCTTCTTTAAGCGTGTGGCAGCACGCCCCACGTGTATAATATAATAGTGAACCAGCACGGATGCAGAACAGCACTGCCGAAGGCTGTGAGGTCAGTTCATGCAGTAACTGTGAGGGAGGCTCCGCAGTCTCTCCTACCCCAGCCCACCACGGCCATCAGTTGTTCCACTTTCCTGACCACACGTTCATCTCTGGCACTTAGCGTATTCTCCTTTGAGGGCTGACGAGCATCTTACCATCTTTTTAGGTCCTCTCTATCCCCCTCCCCAACCTGTTGCCTATAGAAGATCCTCAGTAAATGTCACATAGGTGTCACATGAAACCAACATGTATTTATTAGAATAAAAACCTTAGTCTGAAAGGATAAGAAATTTTGGGCGATATTAACAAGTTTCTCTACTGAATTTTACATACAAAGATGATGCTACTGACCCGCCAGGAGCTGGGTAAGTGCTTTAATTTTTTCCTCCACTAGAGGGAATGGGTTTGCAGAGATCCAGCTATTCTTTTTCACCCTGTCCTCCTTAAGCCCATTTTCCAGAAATCCGTTTGGGACTTGGTCCAGTTTTCAGTTATGCACACAGCTATTCTCAGGGCCCTGACCTGACTTGCCATTGAGGCAAAGATGATCGTTGTACACTTTAATACTGTATCAAGATCACTAATCTCCTTGGGCATCCAAAACATCTGATCACCATTCTCTGTGGCTGGAATTGTTGTTTCCTGTTAACCTGAGGCCCCACCCTGGAAATGGAGCCAGGATAAGCCATCCGCTTTAATGGAAAATGTGCCTGGTTTGCCTGGGACCTTCCCTGCATCCTCCTTTTGTCAATGATAGTCAGAATCTCTGTTTAACATCCTCCCTCCCAAAGCCATGCTTGTATCAGCCATGTTGCTCGTATTATTCCGCACTCCCTGATAGCAAAAACCCAGGAGGTAAAACCGTGACTGCCCATTAATTTCTGTGGAATAGAATTGTCTGTGCCAACAGTGAATGGGGCATGTAGCCTTCAAAAAAAACATTAAACAAAGCATTTCGTATATATAACTAGTGCATTCGTTAGTGTAGGCTTCTTTCCATTTAAGCGATCAAAACATGGGCCTAAGTTTCTACTTCACAACTGTCTGTCACGTTCTCCTGCAGGCATCTCCATAACAATAGAATCCACTCCCTGGGAAAGAAATGCTTTGACGGGCTCCACAGCCTGGAGACTCTGTGAGTTGACCTTTTATTTGTTTCCCTCTCTCAGTGTTTTCATGAGTATTCTGAGGAATCAAAGTGGCCTCAGAGTCACACTTGCTGTTTGATTTGGTAAATTGCCTGCGCTTTAGACAGATATTTATGGTGGCTTTATCACACACACACGCACACAGCTAAACAATAAGACTGAAATTTTGTTTTAATATAGCAAGAGCAGTCAGTTAGTTGGAATCATTATAAGCTAAATGAGATGTTCTCTCCTGAGCAGGACTCTTTGCTTAGGACGTGGACTCTCCGTCAGGGGTCACTTCTGTATGGACTCTCAGGCTCACTGCTTTTGCATCTGGTCCTCCCACTGAGTGAGGCCGTGCTGGACTCACCAATCTGAGATGAACAGGCGTCTCGCTAGCAAACAGTGAGGGTTCATGCTAAAGCAATTCAAAAGACTAAAAAGTAATAAAAGCTACCATTCATTGAGTATATCTATGACCATATATTGCACTGGCCTTTGCCACAAATTGTTTCCGTTAATCCTGCAGCCATCCTGTGAGAACAGCTATTGCTATCCAGCGTAGGCTCTAGTAAGGTTGAGTTATTTTACCAACATGCCTATCTAGTCAGTAACATAACTCAGATTTGCTTCTTTCTCTAGTTTGACTCTGAAATCCATGTTTACCGCCATATATCACTTCCAAAACTGAAGTTCAGTTCTGAGTTGGTACTTGTAATAAAATAGAGTCCAGCCAGCTAACTGCCTAGAGCCTGTCCCAGAGCCATTGCGAGGACAGTTTTCGTGGGTTTTTAATACTCAAGTGAGATAGGAATCTACAATGCAGCCTCTGCCCAGGGCTGCAGAAGCAGATGACCACAGACCACCGGTGGCCTGGGAGCCCATTGTTTGTTTGTGTAAGAGCGTAGCAATTTGTACTTGGTCAATTTAGCTCTTAACCAGATCTGGCTCCACTAATTTCCTGAGGGACTATCTCTTTTGGTGGTCTTCTCCAGGCCGATGACACCAGCAGCTCTCCTTCCAGAGCTCCTTCATTCACTCTGTTCCTCTTAGAGGGGAGGACTCATCCTCATAAGGAGATACCAAAGACGAACTTGTCCAGGCAGGACTTTGATGTCAACCCACTGGCACAGGCAAGCAGTTCCCCTCAGCTGCTAGGAAAGACTAGAACTCCTCCCTTCCTACCGGGCTGGTGGGGAATCTTAGCAATGGAAAGCACCTTCCAGTCCTTTTCCACACAACAGGAACAAAGACAAGATAGGCTTTGATGGGTATTTCCATAAAGAGTCTTTCTTTTTTTCCCCCATGTTTGAGGTGAGGACCCAATATTGCATATAAATACCATAGAGTTAAACATTTCAGGGCAAATTCATATGAGTCCTTGTCTCCTCTCCCCTCACCCTGCCCAGGGCTACAGAGGATCAGTAAATTGGTTACTCCCAACCTCTTCCTTTCCCTCACTAGAAATCCAAGTAATTTATAAGGGCCCAGTCCTTGCTTAATCAAAACAGAGCATCTGGAGAGATTTACAAACAGGAAGAATATTTATGTCCACAAAAGACAGGAGTTTCCTGCCTGTGGTGTAGCTTAAGGATGGTTTGTGCCAGACAAGTGGGAATCCTGATTTGTGATTAACTCAGTCAAACTATCTCTCTCATGAAATTAAATAGCAGTTGTCCACAGAGGAAGAGCTAACCACATCTGATTGCCTGACCAATTTCTGCATCATCTGGGAAATCTGCCCTTCCCAGAGACAGGGGGCAATTGCTTTTTCATACGAAGATGTAGATAAAAGGTGGAGAAAGTCTGTGAAGCACTTGTGAGTAATGGAATTGAAAAGCCATTTGTATCATAACAAATAGAGAAATTAATGGTTGAGATCGTTTGGCTGTTCCATCTCTGCGCATGAAGGATAATATAGAGCTCTGCCTCACAGAGCATGGAAAACATCACACTTCTGATCTGAATCATTATCTGTGACCCTGAGGAAATTCTGGACCTGGCGTCCTTCCTGAGAGTGTCCCGTGCCACATAAACCTCCCCAGAAGCAGGCTGTCATCCTGGACCTCTGGCTGGGAGTCATATGGCACCCTGCAGGAGTCAGGGACAAAGATGTCCTCTCAGGCGAGACTCTGAAAAACAGGGGAAAAGTCAGAGGGTGAAGGAGGGAACAAGAAAGGGCGTGTGATCCAGGAGCCCCGAGGATGCACACTGGGCTGGCAGCTTAGGGAGCCAGGTTTCCCTGAAGAGCTACATCAGCGAGCTGCCCACACCCAGCCCGGCGTCCCTCCTCCTCGGACATTTACATGCTGTATGTCGCCTCCCTTTTTTTAAACACTCCAGTGCCATTGAGCCTTGACTCTGAAATATCTCATGATCCAATGACCATTTTAATGCAGATACTTGTGGAATCATGATGTTCAGCAAGTCAAGAAAATCTCTCTTCATAAAGAGAAGGAATGAGAATTTTCATTAATAATGCTCGTCCATTGGAATAGCATGTTAACTTGCCTTTAAATGTAGTACATGTGAATTTTTAAATGAAAAACTGAAAATACTATTTACTTCTTTTCAGAGATTTAAATTATAATAATCTTGATGAATTCCCCACTGCAATCAGGACACTCTCCAACCTTAAAGAACTGTAAGTATTTAGGACAAATTTAGTGGGAGAATTCTATTCTTTGTGAATTGATTTTAAAATGTTTGGTTATTGTGCCTAATATGACTTACTAGAAAATTTTAAAAGTTCATAAAAATAATGGTTAAGTACACTTGAAATATGTTTTAATCTATTCTATCACCAGCAAACATCAGATAACCTTTTTTTAATTTATAATGGATTTCTCTAAAATATGTATATTAGCAAAAATATACATATTTGTCTGAGCCATACTCTTTTCCTGAACCATATTCCCCCACATTTATATACTTTATAGATTTGTAGAGAACTGTGATGAATTCAGTTATTTGCTGAGTGTTTTGGAAAACAAACTTTTCTAGGCTGCCTACGTCAAGGACTGGATGAAGAAAAGGTATGTGCCTGGTATAGTGCGAGATGCTTTCATGTACACTGTTTCATATTCTTTAAATGCTGCATGAATCTTACTTAATAAAAAGAACCCCACGGTTTTACTAAAGTAAAGCTAACTTTCAGCTATTAGGTTTGCATATATTGTCTTTTATATACTATAATTTAATTAGCTTTTCTTTGTACCTATGTAAGGAATGTTCTAACACTCGGAGAGGAAAATCAGCAGCGAGCCTATTCTCCTGGCAGGAGAAACCAGACATACAGTTAGAGGAGGTGGACTGCAGGCCATGTTTATAAAAGAAAATCTTTAAAGAGGTTCTGCCTCAGGAAACCCCGTGTGTGGCTCATCTAGAAGGTCGTCACTGTCTGTGGTCAGGCAGCCCCAAGACTGCCAGTCACCTCGTCCACACAGGCCTCACAGATCAGTGACCCTGCCCTTCAGACAGCATTGGCCCCGACAGACGAGAGGCGGATTGTTGTTACTGCAGACTCACTGGGCAGGGCACCTTCTTTTGGCTCAGGAAATTTTGTCTTCATGAGGAGATTACTTAAATCTTGACTTTACTGCAGCTTACCTCAATTTTCTCTTCTCCTGGCTTCAAATGGGGTCAGGAGGAGTGATCATAATCCTCTCTCCTACGATGGTCCCCATCGTCTCAAGTTGTTATGCAGTGGTGCTCTGTTGTAAGTTAACAGGTGGATTTTCTTTTTATAACATCAGATTGTGAGTTTCCGTAAAGCACAATTGTTATTTTCAGATTCTTTATTCCTCTTTGAAGATGACAGCTTATGATTTCTTTTTCTCCTAGAGAGTAGGTGAGGGCACGTAAGTGTCAAAATGCATAATGGAATTTAACCTTCTCCTTCAGTTACCAAAGGTGCTGGTTATTGCCGTGGGGGCGTGGGGAGACTATTAAATAATTTTACCCCACATGATATTTTCTATAAATTGTTTTTTCCTCTCTTTCTAGAGGATTTCATAGCAACAATATCAAGCTGATCCCTGAGAAAGCGTTTGTAGGCAACCCTTCTCTCATTACAATGTAAGTGGCCTTAGTTCTTCTTGACTTTTCTATCCTGAACTATACATGGACTGCACTTACACCTAGTACGACCAGTGTTCCACGTCTGTCTAAGTTCTGTCTCAGTTGATGTAAGAATCTGTGCAGAGAAGTGTCTTTGGAGGTGTTCTGCCAGGTTTTAGCTGAATGCTGCAATAATGTAAAAGATTCTTTTCTTTGCAGCGTGCGTTGCATTGTGCTTGGCACCCTCAGTGCCTTGGCTCACTTCACAATAATCCTGTAAGATGCTTTTGCTTGTCTCTGTTCTCTAAGGAATAAAACTAATTTTTAGAGCATCAATGTCAGGTCACCTAGTCATTCAGAACTTGAACCCAAGTATACTATAAATATAAATTATTACGTTAAAGGTTCTCACCAAAATAAAAAAGGTAAATCTGTGAGGTGATGGATGTGTTAATTAACTAGATTGGGGCATCCTTTCACAATGTGTACAGACATCAAATCGCCACAATATACACTTTAAATATCTTACAATTTTGTACATCAATTACACCTCAATAAAGCTGAAATAAAAATAAATGAATAACTATATACAGAGTCTTTTACAGCCTAGATAAGCATGGGGGCACAGCGGGAGATGAGGGGAATTCTGTTTTATGCTAAGTCTCTAAATCCTTCATTATCAAGCCCAAGCATTGAGTCACACTTATACAAACTAGGGTGTAATACTAGAAGGTGCATATATTCTGGAAAGGTGTCTATGAGGATTTATATGCCATAATGGCATGAAATAGAGAGCACAAACGGAAAATGGATCCTATGTAGACATACAGGATGATGAAAAGATGTAAGCATGTGGCTGCTCTTAATGAGGACAACTGGTGGGTTTGGGGCACAGTGTGGCCCCAGGTCGTGGGTGAAGCGTCTCAACTGTGGGGAGGAGAGTAAGCACAGCTACTGAAGGTGACTCTGGGCACTTCTTGCAGATATTCGTCCTGTGCCAACCTGATCGAGGCTTTCTGGAACTGTGTAGCATTTGTCACAAATGAGCTGGAGTGCCCATTAGCCCTGATGCCTGAAAACAAACGCCATTCATCATTTCTGAAATGTTCTGGCAGTATGTTGGCAAACTAAGGGTTTTAAAGTTTGTTGCCAATAAACATGAGTCCTTGTTAGAAAGTACCTACATGTTGAGAAGTCGGCAAATAGCATTACCTCTGCTCCTTGGTCATTGAAGTGGGGGGACTGGTTTTCTTCATCACTCATTTGACATGCTAATACCCCTTGAGGGGCACTCACAGCCCCAATATTTATGAGCACTTCTATCCAGTATGTGATGGTGTTGACTGTTTTTTCCCTGAAATTCTCCTCTCCTTGCTCCTGACTCTGTTTCTATCTCTTGTCACTGCTGCCCCCACCCATGCCCCCTGAATCCTAGTTTCTGAGAACGTCTCCCATGTCCCATTGGCTCCCTAGGCCTCCTGTCTACCTCTGTAGTCCCCACCCTATCCATAACTTCTCTTCATCCCCTCTGCCACCAGCCTCTCTGCTCCCATTACCTCTAGATTTTTACAACCTCAGGCTCATCTCCCTGCTTCTACCACTATCAGAGTCATCACCCTTGAATCACAGCATTCATATTGTCTCTTGCTATGAAACATACAGAGACTCAGGACTGTCTGTTTACATTAAATACAAACTCTGACGTTCACAGCCTTCCACATTCCAAGCCAACCCTCCCAACCAGTTCCCCAAGCTCTCCTCAATGACTCTGTGCTGTAACCCAGACCGACTAAGCTATGCATAGAAGAAAGCTCTTTCTTTATTTCCTCTGTTCTTGTGATTCCATCCCCTCACTGTGCTTGTTGAAATTCTGTTTTCCAGGATCCATTTCACATGACATTTCAGTGAAGTTTTGCTTGAGCTCACAAGAGAACTCTCCCCTGAGAACCAGCCCTACAGATCCTATTTGATCTGATACTTGTGCCTTCTGTGCACAAGCATGTGCATTCATCTCTGGCCATTGTGCATATATACGTACATGGATGTGAACACAGTTACATACACACACAGGCATGTAGTGTAGATAAGGGATAATGTCATATTCGTTATGAGGAAAACTCTGCTTTTTAATCATAAGACCTATATGCCAGCTAGCTCTTTCTCTTACCAATTGTTTAATCCAAGGGAAAAGAAGAGGCAGAGGGTAGGAGTACAGAGGGGAGTCAGGTTTGTGGGGTGACGACTGTACCCCAGCACTGAGCCAGATGTTACACCTGCATTAGCTCTTCCCACGCATACACAACCTCCAGCTAAGTATTATCATCTCAATTTAACAAATTAGAAAATTGAAGCCCTGGGAGGTAATGAACTTGTCAAAGTATCTGAGCCTCAGTGTCTTCCTCCAAAAATGAGGAAAATAGTATTTAAGTGTCTACTCTATGGATCTTATAAAGTTGTTGGGTGGATGAGGTGAGCTACATATATGAAAATCTTTTGTCAACTAGAAAGTGGTACACTCTTATTTATGTGTTTTCTCCCAGCTGATTCCAAGCTTCTTTAGGGCAGGGACATTTTCTCATTCTTCTTCAAACCCCAGCATCTACCGTAATGCCAGGCACATGGTAGACACCCAGCGACAGCTTCCTTTTTGAGTCAGTCTCAAGTCCCCACAGCACCTACCCTCATACTTTGAGCACAGTAGACACCAATAAATATTTGTTGAATTTCATTGAACTAGAGGGATATCTCAGCTCAGAACTATTTGGGGGGTCCCATTGACCAGGCAGTTCAAATGCCATTACATTGAAAACACCTGTAAAACAAAATATTTTTATAAGCTCTAATAATGTCTGATCTTTTAGAGCAATAATTTATTCAAAAAAAAATTCTAATGTTACCAAAAACTCAAAATAGTTTATTTCCTCTCAAATAATTTGAAAAGTTCCTTGTATATGTTATGATAAGATTTGACTGGAATATAACCTTCATGTAGATATATAGAGCTTCATTTCTTTAATTAATGATACAATTGCCAGCACCTTGAATTACCTTTTTGCAACTCAGTGGCTATTCCACAGATATTGGAGGCAGAGGAATATTTCTAAGTATAACTACACTCAGTTCACTTGCTTTCCTCCTTAGTAACTATCTCTCATATCTACCTTGCTGTCAGAAATTTTCAATTTTATATAGTATGGATTTCTTACCAAAAGTCTCACGATGTGAGTTAAAACACTTTTGAGGTTTGCCTGAAACCAAGTAATCAGGAATAGTATAATCAAAATTACATAAATACGTTTAATGTGCATGTTGGAATTTTGAACAGATATTCATTTGTCATTCAAGTCTTATACTTAGACATTGGTGTTTCGATTTTTTCAGACATTTCTATGACAACCCCATCCAGCTGGTTGGAAGATCCGCTTTTCAACATTTACCTGAACTAAGAACACTGTAAGTTTTTATCTCGTAGATACTTTCCCCTTGTAGGGTTGCTGTAAAAGCCAAATGAATATTATAAATGGAAGTGCTTTGAAAATGGCAATAACAATTGCCCCTTTCTAGAATCTTCTCCAAGTAATACTCATGTACCCTCCTTCTAGGACTTTGAATGGTGCCTCACAGATAACTGAGTTTCCTGATTTGACTGGAACTGGGGGCCTGGAGAGTCTGTAAGTACCTGAGCAGGCTCTTGACTGCCCAGAACACGCACTTCCCTTAAAGCCTGGCAGCCTTAACCTCAGTCAATCAAGTATGTCGCTGTGTGAGCCTGAATACAAGAGTAACGTCTGGTTTGTGTTTCCACAGGACTTTAACTGGAGCACAGATCTCGTCTCTTCCTCAAACCGTCTGCAACCAGTTCCCTAACCTCCAAGTGCTGTGCGTGTCAGTGAGGCAGTGATGTTGTGTGAACAAACAGGCAACTTCCATTTGGGGTGAAATGGCAGACTTTATTTCAGTAACCCTTTAGAAAGGGCTCCAGGAGGTCAGGCCTCCTCTGCCCCTTGGGCCGGGGAGACGGCTCTCTGAGGTGACCTGTCATGGCGCAGTGACCCTTGTTTCCAAGTCTGAAACAGCCTCCCATCAGAATCTCAACTGGCACACGTTTCCTTTCAGAAAATGGATATGGTGAAGCCAAAATAACTTCATTTCCCCCTCTAAAAGCTTCGCAGAGCTGAAAAAAATAACAGTGGATTAAAAATCCAATATGGATGCCAAAATAAAAAATGGAGTTATCAGACCCATACAACCTTGATAAAGGGACCAGACACTGTTCCAGTGTAGCTGTGGGTGCCAAGTTCTCATGTTTCGTCTAATAGTTAGGCAGCCTGCATGTGTTATTTCTGTTGATGAGGAGCTTTTCCTCTCTGCTTTTCCCATGTGTTATGGAAAGTAGTTTATAGGAATTAGAAGGGCCTCGTTTTGACCTTCCGTTTTCAAGCCTCTCCCTCCTCTGCCTCTCCACCCCATTATCATCCTCTCAGCATTGTTGGGACTTAATGAGAGGACCCACAGTCCCTCGCCACACTGCAGGAAAGTAGCGCAGTCCGAAATCAAATGCAGCAATTTGCTGAATAACTGGGAGAAAGTGTATGTAGACCAGGAGGTGGAAATCTTGGGGGCCATCTTAGAATCTGCCCACCACACCCAGAAGAGGTACAATTATCCTCATTTCTTGAGGAAACTGGTTCAGTAACATGACTAGGATTTCACAACTGTAACTAATAAGTAGGGAGCCAGTATTTAAATGGCATCTGTCTCCAGGATGTGACGGTGTGAGCCGCCCAGGTCGAGAACTGCACACATGGAGGCTGGCTGGCAAACTGGTCAAGGGCAAGGCTCTGGGGCCTGTGTTTCTGGGTCACGTGCATCCTCCCTGTGCAGCAGCTCAGGATCTTGAACAAGTTATTTATCCCTTCCGGGGCTCCATTTCCCAATCTGTAAAATAAACATGTAGCCACGTCCTTCAGAGGATCTTCCTGAGGATTAAATGAGTTACCGCATGTCAGAAACTCACACCAGCACCTGGAACTTTGGAAACTCTTGGGCAGTGTTAGCTCTGAGCATCTTCTCTCTCGCCTCCTCTATACCGTTATTCTTTCCTCAAGTTGAAACTTGAAAGGCCTGACAGAACACAAATACGTTAATGGCAGTATCTTGCTGTTTTCAAAGTACTTCAACCTGTACTATTGATTTGTTCTTCACAACAGCCCTGCAAGGTCAGCAAAGCAGGCTCTTCTCGTTTAAGGAGAGAGCTGAGAGAGACACCAACTCTGGCCAGTGTATCGACCAAGTAGAACTAGCTGAGGTAGCAGAACCCAGGGCCCTGCCCTCTACTACTGATGCTCCGGTCTGGGAAGCCCCTCCTTTGGCTGAGTCATCCACTGAGTACTTGTTACATGAGGAAGTTTCACTGTGTTTGACTGGTTTTGCCCCCACGTTGCTTCACCTCCCTGGGAATTACTTGGCTGTGTGTGGCTTTCCCCACTAATGAGCTGGAGATCTTAGGCAAGTCATTTCACTTTGTATGGGGATAATCAAAGTGTGTCATAAAGGTGACCACAAGGATTAAATGAAATGATTCAGGTAAAGCTGTAAACATGGTGTCTCTGCATAAGAAGTGCTTGATCAATGTTAGCCACGAAAATCAGGAGGTAGAAGGTAGGTAGAAGGCGACACTGTCTTTACATTATGTAGAAGAAGGTGTTATGTACTCCCTGCTAAGAGGTACACAGGAAGGATTTGTCCTCTTGCAATCTGTGAAGATAAGTGAACCAAATTATCATCAGCTTTGATAATATGTGTATCCATTTTTATCACATTCACTGCTTTTCAAAAATGCACACCATATTATTATTCAGGTGTACTTGTGCAGAGGTGTGGGGTCTGGTTTTGTTTTTTTGTTTTTGGTTTGGTTTGGTTTGGTCTTTCAAACCTCTACAATAAACTAAAAATTTCTATTTGCAAACCACTTCATCTGGACTATTTATGTGTAGTAAATGAACTGTATTTCTCTAAAAATTCCATTTATTCAATAAATATAGGATAAAGTGATCAATTACAAGAATAAAATAATTTAAAGGCCTCTTAGAAACAGTATGGATTTTTCAGTTGCCTACTGGTGATCTGTTTTTAAGAATTAGAATCATAGGGGCTGGCCCAGTGGCATAGTGGTTAAGTTCTCGAGCTCCACTTTGGCAGCCCGGGGTTTGCAGGTTCGGATCCTGGGCTTGGACCTACACATGGCTTGTCAAGCTATGCTGTGGTGGCATCCCATATAAAGTAGAGGAAGATGAGCACAGATGTTAGCCCAGGGCCAGTCTTCCTCAGCAAAAAGAGGAGGATTGGCAACAGATGTTAGCTCAGGGCTAATCTTCCCACAAAAAAAAAAAAAAGAATTAGATTCAGGCATGAAAATGTGTTAGTTGACTAGCTGATAACTTTTAAAATATGAGAGAAGGTTTTTTATATATATCTATGTTACTTTATCTATGAGCTTTCTTTTTTAAGCTTTCTGCAAATTACCATGGCTTGTTTTAGATTAGTTATACTATACTATAAATATGTCCAGATGTTTTTGTTGTTCTGTAATTTGTTGAGTTTTGACTGAAGACTTTCTTAGATATTTTCCCCCTTGTAGTGATTAATTTCAAAGTCAGTGCTATGTTTTGAATAGTTGTTGGGGTTTTTTTTAGTTGATTAGAAAAGAACCAAAGTGATTCTCTTAGCTATAGAGATAAAGCAGCTCTTAGAAACAGAGGCACAATTTTTAATTTAATTTGTACTCATTTCAGTAAGATAACAGCTAGAACATTGTAGATCACTAACAAAATATAAATAAATTCATTAAGTAAATTAGTTAAATCAATTAAAGACGTATAACAGTTACATTTCAATAAACACTGGAATCTGCTGCTTAACCCAATAGTGCTGTCACTGCCTGCCCCGTGGGGCTGGGAGGCGGCCCGAGCTGGCCTGTGGGAGCTGTGTCCTCATGGAGGGGAAGGCTTGTTTCCTCGTGATTAGTATGTAACAGATTTTCCCTTTTGTACCTTCTGTTTTTCAGAGATCTATCTTACAACTTGCTAGAAGATTTACCCAGTTTTTCAGTCTGCCAAAAGCTTCAGAAAATGTACGTCTGTGAGAGTCTCTGAGTTGCCCAGCAGAACCAAGGCCCAAACTCACGTTTCCAGGGTCACTGGTCCTCACCCTGAGGCTCCCTCAGAGATATGTGATGCTCTCCCTTTTGTACACACGGTGTGATCGTATAGGATGGCCATAAAGCTGGGAAACATAGATAATATTATTTTACTATGCATTTACTATAAGTAAAGCATTTATTATGTATTTGCTTTCTTTTTTCTAACTTGGTGTAATAACGAACTGGGTTTGTTTGAGCTTTGGAATTTCTAAACTCATACATCCAGTGAGTGGTGTTATTTTTGAATATGGAGGGACTTGAATTTGTTGGTATGTTTGTTTCACAATAATCATCTTTAGAGGAGGTGCCACATTTGTCATATTTGAGGTACCATTGATGCTGCTTACACATGAAACATTTTAGAGTTCTTCTCTTAAAATTGCCCCCTCCACAAAACATCAGCCTTATTGCTATAAAAAATCATACTTCAGTTTTGATCAAAACAATAGTAACCATCTATCCTTTCCCACTTAATTTTTCTCTGAATGCCTTTGGGCAATTAAGGGAGAAAAAAAGCAAATCCATCTTTAGAAGGTAAGGATTTGAGGCTCCTGAAGACCCTCAGAGAACACAAGAAAGGCTGAAAGGCAGAGCCAGGAGAGGCATCCTCAGAGTCTTTGAATGATGGTGGCATTTGGAATATGGTTTTAGATCCACCCAAAGTAACTAGGTGCTTGAAAGAGAGGCAATACTTATTTAAGTGTGTAAATTGTAATATTCTTTTTTAAACAAAAAATTTTTAACAACAGTCACTTGATAGTTGCACTCACGTGTCCCTTTGTGTTCAAGTTCTCTGAGGACTAATCTTTGAAACCAGTGACTTTGAAATCAATCTTTGGAACTCTGTCATTTCAGAGACCTGCGACATAATGAAATCTGTGAAATTAAAGTCGACACTTTCCAGCAGTTGCCTGGCCTCCGATCTCTGTGAGTACTGCCTCCCAGCACCTCCCCACACGGAGCACTTTCTTTCTCTCTTGGATCTTCTCTTGGTATTTTCTTTTCACTGTATACGTGTATTGTTGGGCCTTTGTGCACATATTTGCTATGAAAAGGCAAATATTTTGCTTGTGATAATTTCCAGGAATAAATTCAAAAGTAGTAAATTTACAGTCTGCTTTCCGCCAGTCAGCAGACGTGAAACTTCGATACAGAGGAAGGAAGCTGCTGAACAGCCTACAACATGTGCTTCTGTCCGCAGCCTGGAGTTGGCAGGGGTCGTTTTCCATACGAAAATGGTGACCATAGCATTCTTCCTGCCCATTTTTCTTTCCTGGCTAAACAGTTTTTCAGCATGCATCTCAAAGTGCCTGAGAATCACCTGGGGGCTCTAAACTCCAACTGTAGGAAGTGCAGACTCCAGGCCCTCACCCTCATTCCCCAGTGAGAATCTCTGGAGCGGGGCCTGAGAACTTGCATTTTAACAAGTACACTATGGCTTGGGCACAGCTGTCCTGGAAAATGCTTGTGTTGCTCAGACAACTAAGATTTGTAAATATTTAATTCCATTTTATGATTTCCATTTTATGAAAACACCATATATTAACCATAAATGAAGAAAGAAAACCTTGGTGACAGATTTTTTTTTGTGACTGTTAAAACTTTTCCATCTTGAAACTGAATTTCAATGTAGTTTTGATAAATGATGACTATATATAATGTTTAAATTCTGGTATATTTTGTTAAAAATCATTTCTTTCCTGAAGTTTTGTTTAATACTTGAGACTATACTCTTGTAAAATAATACCATTAATACCTCAAAACATTTTAAATTTACCTTTAAGAATCATCTTCTCCCAAAAATTTAGCTTGAAAACCATCTTGTTCTGAATTGTGTTGCCCTTTCCTTACTTTTGTTTTAAATCAGCTTGTGAAGTTCTTTGACTTTTTTTAATAAATATGAAACAAAAATACATTACCTATTTCATTACCTGCCTTATCGCTAGGTTGGAGTTCTGGCTTTTTCCAAAGTCAGTTCTATTTTAAAAGGAAGATATAATTGATAACACTGTATTGTATAATTGAAATTTGCTAAGAGAGCAGAACTTACATGTGCTCACCAAATATAAATATATATGTATAGTATGAAATAAAAAGCTGACCTCTAAAGATACCAAAAGAATAGACACAGACTCTGAAGGCTACATGTCTGAGTCCCCTGAATTCCTCCTGACCCTGAGACCTCACATCCAGTCACTCACCAAACTCTGCCAACTCCAGTTCATCCACGCTCCTACCACAGGCCCATGACTCACGCACCTGGATCACCATCATCCTCCTCCTAAGCAGTCCTTACACCAGCGGTCTCTACCCATTCATCTCACCACCATCCTCCTCCTCCTAACCAGTCCTTCCACCGTCAGTCTCTACCCATTCATCTCATCACC